TCCTAATGAGGGGTTATTGGGATAACCCCATTAATAACGGGGTGTGTCCCAGCCCGGGATCCACCCTCTGCCYGGAGGATCCTGGGGCGATTTCGGGCGCCTTTTATCCCCCAATAAATGGGAATTCTCAGGGCCAGGAGCGGGGAAAGGGAAAGATCTGCCAGGAGAAGCTGCGGGATGGGAATTCGGGACGGGAATGGGGGATCAGGGTCATCTCGGAGATCTTTTCCATCCCAAACCATCCCGGGATCCCACGGAAACCCGAAAAGGAGCGACAGCCATAAAAAATGGGAATGGTGGGAGAGAAACAGTCAGGGTGGGGTTGGGGGAGGCAGGAAATGAGGGAAAGAGCAAAGAAAGGGAAAAATTGATGGGAAAATGCATTTTCTGAGGGGTCCTTGGTTTTCCAGGCTACCAATCAAAAAAAATCATAATATTAATATTGATATTGATATTGATATTGATAGTAATAGTAATAGTAATAGTAATAGTATTAATAATAGTATTAATAATAGTATTAGTAATAGCAATAGCAATAGTAATAGTAATAATAATAATAATAATCCCTAGAGGTGTCCAAGGAATTCCTGAACATTGGTCTGGGATCTGACAAATCTTTGACTCGATTTTGGAATTCTTTCCCAACCGCAATAATTCCGGGATTTCCCTTTAATTTTTATTAATTTTTTAACTAAAAAAAGGAATAATTTCCATTTCTCTTCTTCCTGAGATCGTCCAACCCCTGGAGCCGGACGCGCTGGAGCCGATGAGTCAAACCCGTGGTTTTTGGGTCCGCCCCACCCATGACCTCGTTTTTTTTCCCAACGTTTTTTTCCTTGGCGAGCCAAACGGGAAATGTGGGATCCGCGAGGTGCCCCGGGCTCAGGGAGGGCTGATCCTATGAGATATCGGGGTGTTTTCRTCACCCTGGGGTGGTGACACCGTCACCGGGATCGGGAACGGGGCTGGGAAATTGGGGCAGGTGGAGACGGGGGTGGGGTGAGCAAAGGGGGTTGTGGAGGTTCCCAAAATGCATCGGGAAAAATTGAAATATGGGATTTTTGGAGGGGGTTGTTTTAGTGGGAAAATGTTTGGAGGGGATCGGGATCGGGGAAGAAATTCCCATAGGGATGGCCAGTGGGATGGGTGAACACAGGGAAAGAG